TTCTACTAAGTCGCCCTGACAGCACGACTAAGTTGCGACAACGAGGTCAGCCCATTTCTCTAGTGGGGGTTTCTTACATTCCTTAAGTGGACAATTACATCATTGAACGGAGACCCTTGGTCTACAGTCTTCTATAGATTGCATTGATGGACACCTAGCAGCATTGGAGGAGCAACATCGAGGTTTACTTTCGAATTAATCTCCACAAATGCATACAGACAGTCCAAAGGAGATATGACCGAAGATCATTGGTTCAATCAAATAGATAGATGGACAATTCGAGTAATGGTAAGACGAACCCTGCATATATCCCTGAACATAGAAGCACCAAGTAAATTTGCATATTTTGATTATTCAGGTCTCAGCTCTCCCAGTAAAAGCCTAGAACATTTTCGAGATTTGCGCAAAATGGATAACTCGGATTTTTCAACGGTTCAACACATATTGTATCTGGTCAACTCCCTATTCAGTGAAATTTAACGTCTCTAAATATTCCCACCTCATTCACTTTTTCATTCCTATGATTAGTGCATTTATTCAGCATAATATTTGCATCAAATACCCCTGCATCATTGCGGTCGCTAGCAACAATTAGATATGACGTGCTCGCCTATTTGTATTCCACAGAAATCTTAAACACTGGACTTTAGAAAGATCCTGTATTCTATCTTTGGCTTGAGAAGACAAGCGAACTATAGCTTTAAGAGTACCAATTGGATTTAATCGCAGGGGAAAACTTTATCTAACTTCTGAAGGAACTGGGAAAACTGATGAACCCATTTTTTGGTATTGGCTTGAGGCAGATGAATAAGAAGTCTCTAGGCGGGTTGACCAATTTTGAGGCTAAAGGGGTTAATCAACCTATTGTTGGGAATGCTGTCATTCGATAGATCAAATAAATATGTCTTAAAGTATCCTACATCTAGATGTAATACATTTTGACAATGATGCACTCTAAATTTGTGATTGTGCAATAATGGCACTATCGAAACTTACAGGAAATATAGAGACAGGGTGAAGGATTTCTATTTGATGATTTGTGTTTTTAAGAGCTAATTATACAATTAATTA